AATTTTTTTTAAACCGGATCATATGATAAGATAGATTGTTTGGATGCTTATGCATAACAATGTTCTGTGAACCTTGCTTGTTTGAGTGATCATATGACCATATAGAACCCAATGTACTAGGTTGCTTGCATCATTCTCTATGGACTTTGATTGCTAGAACCTGATGTGGTCGATTTTTTTTATTAAATTGGTCTTAAAACACTACAAGAAAACAGATTGTTTGCTACCACTAAAAGAGTCACAAGATAGTCACAAATACAGTATTAACCACTATACTAAAACTAAAAAAAACGGTGGCAAATGTTTGGTCGCAAATTGTTTTAGTCACAGAATAGTCGCACATGTGCAACTACATTATGACACCTTGACATAGTCATATATTAATGACTGTTTCGATACATAATTAGTGAATCTCTACTTGGTGACTTATTTGTCACAATATTAGAAAAAGAAATTAATTAATAACTGGAATAATATGAAAAATATTAATAGCTGAAAAATATAAATTTAAATATCTCAGTACAGTGTATTATTGAAACTGGTTTATAAAGAAGATTTAGTTTATTAATTAAAATCTGGTAAATTATATACACCAAAATCAAATTACAAATCAAACAGTTTTCAAATCTAAACCTAAAAATCCCTCCGTCGTTCTCTGCCACCTCCTCCGTTGCCTCAACATCGCTTCGCCATTTACCGCCTGTTAGTGGCAGGACAGACGGCACCGCTCCGTTACCACAGTTCCGTCGGCACTGCTCGGCCTCGATATACCTCGAAGGCATCAACATAACAACATTACTCCATTAGAGATAGATAAAACACTGAATCTACATTAATATAATCAATAGTAAGAGAAAAAACGAACCAGAGGAGCAAGGACATAGTCAAACCCGCCGGTGGAGATGTTGAATGAGAGAAGAGACGGAAACATCGTCTGAGAAATCAGTTTCAACACCACAGTATCTGGACTCGCTTCTCTCCCATCCTCCTCTCTCTCCGAGCGGCATCTCTTCTCTTTACTGTGGAGGAATCGCAGGTGAAAAATTGAATCTTTTTCCATTGTCCTTAACCACTATTTTTTCTCTTCACGCCTCCTCTTTCGCCAGCACCGCTCTCGTGACGCCTACACCAGCACGTCAATACCTGTGACGTGTCTCCGTTGTCTCATTCTTTACTTCTGGGCTCTGCCGCGCTTCCGATCCGGTTCGTCACTCCAGATCTGTGAAACTAAAAACAATAAACTTCATTAGAAATGGCAAAAAAGATGAAGAGAAAGGAAAGAAGACAACATAAATGGAAAAAAAAGAGATGAGATTGAACAAGACCAGGGAGTAGAGATGCAGAGAGTGTGAAGAAGACCAAAGAGTAAAGAGAGATGAGAGAAGAAAAACTTCTGTCGGTAGAAGAGAGAGAAGGAAAGAAACACTAATTGATCTAGTCCATCAGATTAAAGGATATCAAGGGCTCATAAGGTTATCCTTGTCAATGGGATATTAACCAATAGCAAATTTTCTTTGTTTCTCTTTTTTTTCCCATTATTTGTTTTAAGTGAACTCAACAAATTATTAATTTAAATTGATTTATTTGTAAATTATATAAGTAAATAATTTTAAGAAGTGGTTTATAAATGTAGTTGATGGTTATAATATTTTATGCTTTAGGGTTTGGAACATGAGATTTAAGGTACAAGTTTAAAAAGTATTAGATTTGAATTTTTGATTTATGATTTGGAGTTTGAAAATAAAGGAGGGGTAAGTGTTCATTTTTGGCAGTTGTATTCTGCTGTATTCTCAAATTTTTTAAAATATTATAACCATTCAACTATATTATGTTTTGTAAATACTTTGTTTTTATTATGATATATTTATACATGGAGAATGGAATAATTAAGACATAAAAGATTATATGTATTGTTGATAAATTGAAAAACAATTGCAGAATAGTCACAAAATGTAACCAATTTGAGACGCTATTTTAGAAGTCACAAGTAAACCCTAATTCTTAAACCCTATAATGTTAATTAGTTAAAACTATGAATTTATAATCACTAATCTTCTAATTATTAATTACATTCTTCATTTTAAAGAGTAAAAACAAAACAAAACAAAAACATTCACATTCTAGGGTTTATGGCATCACAAATGTAAAAACTTGAAATTAAAATTGTTTTTGGGTTTTGTAGTTAGGAATTGTAATATTAGTT